AGTCTGCACGAACTTAACGCCTGCTGCTTTCAAACGGTTCAGTAAGAAGGGTTGTGTGTGGCTTTGTCAACAGTGCTGCTCGGATGCAAACAGCTTGTTAAACGAGGCCATCTCACTGGTTGATGCTGCAAAGAAGTGTTTTAGCAAGCATAGTCGGAACGCGCCAAACAGCACTCGATCTGTTGACACGCAAATCAACTTGAAGGAAACTAAGGTTAGTCCGATGATAGATGACTCACGCCCGTCAAAGAAGGAAAAGCAGTCTCCAATGGGGCTTGCCTTAAACAAAAGCCCAAGAAATGTAGGGTTTTCTGTTCCTCGTCTCCCAGATGGGATCCAACAGGAAAAACCTAGAAGCCTCAATCGCAAGGCTCGATCGGTTTCAAGCGGTAATCATAACCCGACCTCTCAGGTCGTCGACAAAACCCCAAATCCAACACTAGGTTTGACGCAGCTGTTATTGCTTCTACCAGCACCGTTGACGAATGGGCACAGGTTGTAAGGAAGAAAAGTAGGGATATAAAAGGGAACCCTGGCCCCGTAAGAGTAGTTGAAAAATCGAAAGCTGATCATAGCGACAGATCAGTTATTTTCCATAGAATCAAGGAGAGCGAGAGCTCTGAACCTAAAGCTCGTTTTGAGCATGACATTGTACTGATTAGGCAGCTGCTTAATTAACTCATGCCTCAAAATATGACCGGGGTCACCTTGATATAGGTGTACAGAGTAGAGTCTAGCGGACTCGAAACCAAATCATTCCAGACTGCTTAAAGTGGTATTCGGCTCTTCGAACGAACGTGACCTGATTTTACAAAATGGACACAAATTAAAGGGTTCAGGAGTCTTTATCCGAAAGGAACTGTAGTGGCATTGGACAATAACCGCACAATCCACAAAGCTGAACGCGAGACTACTCAGAAAATAGATATTCAATATTTAACGCGGATAAATACCTAACGATGGAGAAGGCGCGAACAATGAATTGAATGGACTGGGTTTAGTCGGATGGCATGGCTCGGCCATGCAGGCGTGGTTCATCTGAATATTCTTTTATATCTTCTATTCGTATTAAATATATTGTTCCTTCTCTAGCTTAACGTTGTTCTACATCATGTATTGGTAATTGATACGATACAGTGAGTTGGCGTAGTCGATGGTGTGACTTCCACGTAAGATCTTATAGATTAGGCAGTTATATCATGACAAATCTACAAATTTAGGATTAGGTCTATTATTAGAGCAGCACTAATATCATAGTAGACCATAGTTCTACAGAACTACCGTTGGCAGACCGTGTTAAAAGACGAGAAGCTGAGAAAGAACTACAACTTAGGTTAGATGCTGGCGAAAAGGACCTGAAAATTGTAAATTTTCGGGTTGTAAGACTTCGACAGAGAATGATGCCGAAGCCACTCTGGGTGAAGCACGAAGGCACTTAAACAGTCTTCGGATCTGTTACACCGATGCACGAAGCTTACTTATTAAGCGATCGGAACTAGTTGTACAGATTGACTCTACAAATACAGAAATTATCGCAGTTACGGAAACCTGGCTGACACAGGCTACAGACAGTATGGCACTTGATTTCGAGGGTTTTACGTTAGTAAGGGCTGACAGAACACAAAAGCGCAAAGGAGGGAGAGTAGCTCTATTCATTAGGAATGCTATCTCATTTGCCATTATCGGTAGTGTGTCCCATGAGAGTGGGACGTGTGAATTAGTTAGTTGCCGCTTGAAATGCAGGGGACAAGAGCTGCTTGTTGGTTTGGTCTATCGCAGTCCATGCTGTGAGGCAAATGAGATCCAGTTAAGCAGTCTCAATACTTGGTCCCAAAGTGGTCGATGTCTAATCCCAGGGGGCTTCAATGCACCTATGGTAGACTGGGAAAATCTGCGAACTAAATCGTTGGAGAATTCTTTCGAGCAGGAACTAGTTGATGTGGTTATCACATGTGCTCTAGTGCAACATGTGAAAGAAGCGACTAGGTACGATCCGGACACTGAATCATCCTTATTAGATCTTATACTGACCCACTATGAGGATGATGTTGCGAACCTCCACCATATGCCACCCCTTGGTAAAAGTGACCACGCAGTTTTAACTTTCGACTTCCATATAACTGCCAGTCATGAGCACACGTCAGTCCAGTACAGACCCAACGTCTGGAAAGCAAACATACCAGACATCATGCATTCAGCATCGTTAATAGATCGGACAATAGACCCAGAGTCCTCCATTCAAATGGCCTGGGATGCATTTCGAAATTCATACTTAAAAGTTACCACACCTCACATCCCTTGGACCATACCAAAGGGGCCGAAAAACTCACCACCATGGTTCAGTAGGGAGGTCCGTATCCTTCTCCGTAAGAAAAGGAAAATGTGGGATAGATTTAGGTTACAGGGGACTGATGAGTCAAAATCTCAGTATCGAAAGGCTCGAAATACTTGTGCCTCGACCCTCCGTAAGTCTAGAAAATTGTACGAAGGAAAACTTGTTAAGGAATCCATATATTTTCCTAAACGCTTGTATTCTTATATAAACCAAAGGACAAAGAGAAGGGGAAATATTCCTTATCTATGGGGAGACAGTACTGCTTCATCATTAGTGGAAGACGACGTTGGTAAGGCTCAAGTGTTCTGGAACTACTTTAGCAACGTATATACCATAGAAGCGCCCTTCCCGTCAGCGTATACAGATCCCCCCATACATACACTGGATAGCGTGACCATTAAAGAACTCGATATCTTTGGTCTGCTGAATAAGCTTGACATAGGTAAATCCACGGAGCTCGATGAATTACATCCTAGGCTACTGAAGAAATTATTTAACTTCGTTGCAAGCCCTTTAAGTACATGCTTTAACCTATCCGTTACGCAGGGTCGTTTACCCAACGATTAGAAAAACGCCATAGTAAGTCGTGTGTTCAAAACAGGTACGAAACACAAACCTGAGAACTACCGCCCCGTTAGCCTAACTAGTGTGGTTGTTAAAATCTTAGAAAAGATTATTCGGAAGGAGCTGTTTAAGTATCTCGATAAAAACCGGATCCTTTCGGAGAAGCAGCACGGCTTCAGAATAGGTTACTCTTGTCTCACTAACTTAATAGTGGCTCGTGAAATCTGGTGCGTTCTTAAGGACCAAAAGCTACCTGTAGACGTCGCCTTCATTGATTTCAGTAAGGCTTTTGACAAAGTTCCACACAACCGGCTGTTATATAAGTTAAGAAAAGTCGGGATTGGAGGCAATTTATTGATGTGGATAAAAGACTTCTTAGTTGGGCGTCAACAAAGAGTAAGGGTGAACTCAAAGTTATCTAGCTGGGAAACTATGCTTAGTGGAGTGCCCCAGGGTACAGTTTTGGGGCCAGTGCCATTCCTCTTGTATGTAAATGACCTTCCTTGTCTCCTATCATCATCGGTCTTGCTATATGCTGACGATGTCAAGATATGGAGAACGATACGATGTAAGAGTGATAGCTTAGAACTTCAAAATGACCTGAAGAAGTTGTCTGAATGGTCTCAAACATGGCAGTTGCCGATAAATACTTCCAAGTGGGTTGTGATGCATATCGGTCATCAAGGCACAGATACATACACTGAGCTACCTGTTGTCCAGACACACACAGACTTAGGAGTAATCGTTATCTAAGGCTTAAAGACCAATGCACATTGCCGTGCAATAGCCGCCAAAGGTTTTAGAACGTTATGGTCAATACGTAGAGCTTTTAGTCATGTCGACGCTAAAACGTTTTTGACTTTGTATACAGTGTTCGTACGTCCCAAACTTGAGTACTGCATACAAGCGGCTAGCCCCTGCTTAAATAAAGACAGTGAGCTTCTGGAAAAGGTTCAGAGAACGGCGACTAAGCTGATTCCCGGAATAGCGAAGCTTCCGTATGAAGTTCGACTGGCCAAGCGGAAGCTTTTCCCGTTGTCTTATCGCAGAACTAGAGGCGACTTGATTACAGTTTTCAAATTGCTTAGTGCCAAATTTGCACCTGAAATGCTCTCATTTTACTTGTCTTCCAAAACAGAGAATTTACGAGGACAATCCAAAAATGTTCATAAGCCGAGAACAAATTACTTGTCAGCTGACCATCGACTTTCCCATCGAATCATCAACGAGTGGAATTCACTACCTCAGCACGTGGTTGAGGCTCCATCCGTCGACTCTTTCAAAAGAAAGTTGGATCAACTGAGAGACCACCATTGCCAGGACTAACATAGGCCATCGAGCCTCCTGTCCTTCCCAAACTGAAACTGAAACTGAAAGTCATATTACCTTATGTACTTCTTTCAAACAGGTCTCAAAATTGTCCCAACTTGTAAATCTTCGAGATAACATAGTATCATTGAAGATTCGTCCTATATCATGCATCATCACGATGGCATCGTGTTCGTTACTTGAAGAATGGACGTTACCAGACATGGTGTGGCTGAACTCAATTCAAATCTAAAAATGTCTTGATTTGACCGCTTCTGAAAATTTTCACGAATTGTCGATGTGATGCACCAATCATTTTGTGACTGTTTGACCTTCAAGTGCTCGCAATCCCCATCAGTGGACGATACCCCAGGAGCGTTGCCTATTTATCAGCTGTGTTTCCACAGAGAAGTCTGCTTTCGTCTTAATGCATGTGGGATTCTCCAGTATCTCACCAGAATGATGTACGCTTCAGTAACGAGATTTTATTCTCGGATAGTATTCTGACCACAACAGACTGATTATAATCGGTCCTCCACAAATTTATTGCTTTTTGCACACAGCAACATTCCATGTAGGGACTAGATTTCAGCCACTGAAAAGTTTTTGAAGTTTCTAGCGGTTTGTGTTAGCACTTCGAGTCTACGTAGGATTATTACCAATTTCTTTTCCTTTTTATTGTTAACATACCTAGGTTCCTGCCTGGAGGATTTGGTCATCCCCTGCTACTAGACACGGAAGCCTGTTAAGCGAAAGCTTCTTCTATTCCGTCCACAACCATTTGAACCATTTGAAGTTCTCGTATATTTACGAAAAATCGTTTATTTCCTTTTCTCAATACAGAATGCTTACTTTTAATCAAAGTGAGCTGTAAATCACATATCTACCCTGTTACTTGTTGCCTTTGTCACCGTAATTGCTTTTTTCTGGGAAACCTTACTGGTAAATAATATCAAAGTTTCATTTTTTGTGTTGGGCACCTCAGGGTGTTATATCTTAAAATAAGAGTTGCCGTCGTTTGACGGAACTGATATATAGCACCAGGACAATTCAGTTAACTCGTATAGCTGCAGCGTTTTCCACTCATACATTTCCTATTATAACACTCATCATATCTGATAAGATGGAGACAACATTTCTTAAAGTATATCTAGAATTCCCAGAGACATTTCTTAGATATATTTTGTTCTAAGACTTCGGTCGTCAACTGCAACGGTAAACGAAACACAAGTCAACACTTTTACTATCTATGACCCTTTAAATTTGTTTGTCCGGAAATCCATTTTAATTTCCTTGACCCCAGTCATCCAATGTTGCAGTTTATACCCAACTTGTGATTATTCACATGCACATTATATATGATTTTCCATTCCGTTAGTAAGGCAATTTTTCTACAAAACTCACTGTGTAGATGTCTTAGATTTGATATTAAAATGCTTCTAATGATCAACAAACTTGGTAAATCAGTGATTCGAAATAGTAGTATCGTTGATTAGTGACTATTCTCTGTGGTATCTATAAGAATCTTGTTTTTACATACATCAAGCTCTAGAATCTCATACCAACATTCAGAATTGGAGTTCGCGAACAAAATTCCTTAATTTTGATTTGAATTGGACTTTATAGAGGAATCCTCCAAATAATCAAAAATCTGTCTCTGGACTCTTGGATGAATATTTGAAAATTTAGTCATGTTGTTCGGGATGCTAGATCCCCAAAAATCACTTGAAAACGTCTTATTTTTGTATTTTGATTATGGAATTTTTAATTTCTCGTTTTTACTTCAAATGTGCCTATTTTCACATTCAGATTGTATTTCCCAGTTGGAAGTACTCTAAATGTCATCGGTTCGTTTCCTCTTTTAATTTAATACTTTGTGACGTTTTTTAAGGACATTTTTATGCTGCATATATGCGATTACGTTGTGTGCTTGTTGTTGTTATTGTTTCTGAGTGCTTGTGTGATGCTCTTTCGTCTGAACCGGGTCTTCTCCCTCTAGTTAGCAGGGCTGGGACACATCGGGATAGTTTAGCTTGTTTTGTCGTTGTGTCGCTGATCCCTCATAATTTTTTCAAACAGCACATTGAGTAAGGTGTATTAGTGTTTTTACATAATGTAACTCTTAATGACCATATTATTCCTTACATCTTATTCCGTGAATAGTGGTATGTTGTGCTATTCCATCTTCACTCTTTTTGTCTCTTAATTATTTGTTACTATTGTAGTCATTGTTTTAGTGTAACTTTTCCATCGGATCACTCTTCACTGTACTGATTTTAAATGTGGAGACATGAAATGACAGTTGTTTCTCTCGAATCATACAATACGTACTTGTGTAGCAATTTGAAAAAATCTATGAATGTCCAAACCTTGTTGTCTCATCGTCTCATAAATTTACCAGCTGCTGACTACCTAGTTAGTGTCTTCGCAATCATCTTGACCTGTGGCTGGAAACGTTGGATGATATAGCTAAAATTTATTTGTAGTACCAGTGAGTTGCTCAGTTTCTTTTCCCAGTCCCTATATTTTAATATTATTGCATACCTTTTTTCCTGTCTTTCGGAGTCACATTCTCGACTTTTGGTTCTTACCATCATTATTTCTGCTGTAGTTCCAACTTCTTTCCCATCCATCAGACCAACTTCGTCCCATTATCTGGATAGAGTGTAAAATGTTAAAGCAATGAACATACGTCCATACGTTGTTTGTAACTGACTGATTGTTAAAGTGTTATTTGACATGCCTCTATATTGCTCTGTGCATAACTTTGTCTGTCTGAACTGCATAGTATATTTTATCGCCTAAAGATGTGTAATAGTGTGTTTGCACCATCTTTAAATGTTTGTCGTTGTATTACTTTTAATCCTATCACGTTTCCTAGGTCTTGATAAATACCACGTGGATTACTAGATCATATTCATGAATTCACCAAATTCTAACCATCATTGTTTACTTCGTCACGATCCTGTTACTGCACGTGCCATTTCACGTTTAAGTCATGGAGTTGCTCGTTTGACTGCAAGCCTTAATCCCGATAGACAGTATCGACATTTTCGTACCAGACACGCAAAATCCAGGAACAGAACTGAATCAGAATCTATATTGAACGACCGGTGAGCCTCTTTTTACTTTATGTTGTACAGTCAGTCGAAATGTCATGCCACTCATTTTATTATTTTTGAGGGACCCCTGTTTCCTTAAAATGTCAGACCTATCAGTCCATATATATTTATCGTTTATATACTTAACCAAAATATCAGATTTCGCACCATATATCTAGCGCTTATATTCTTCTGGCTACCCGACACATGGATCGGGTTTCAAGGTATAAGGCAGTATTAACTTTATAGCTTGTAAAGAGATCTACATTATCGTACCAAATAACTGTTAGTCAAGCTGCGTACGTCATGTTTTTTGACCGGCACCTACATTTTCTCATTTTTCAGATGTCTTGATTACTTTAACATGAATCCACATGGTACAAGTTCATGAAGTCACTGAAAAGTGGACTGAGACATGTTGGTAGGTGTAGACTACCTGGTTGTGGACCGCGAGATGATAGCAATCGATGGTTAGAGACCCTGAATGACATGGCTCTAAATCACTTGTAATGGCGCAGGTGCATCCACTCTTTGTGTTCTCCCAAATTCTAATCTTCTGAATTCTTCATGTCCTTTTCTTTTTTCTCTTTCCAAATTTATTTCACTGTATTATACTCCTTGAATAACATCTTCAAACCCTAATTTTTCTGATTACAGCTTATAATTTTACTATATCTAGCACTACGGGATTTGAATCGACAACTGCATCTCTGTGCTAATGTGGTGTGGCAACTTGAACTGACGTATGTACGTACGAAGTTCTACGTTGTTACTGACTGACTGACTGACTATACATTGGTGAAGTCCTCGTCATAGTATTTGGATTTTTTATAAGCAACATAACGGAATGGAGTAGTCTTCAGATATTCAAGTTTTATCTATCCAGACTGAACACTATTTGGTAATTTGGGAGCTTAATGGAAACGATAAAAAGAATTGAATTTATGACAATGTAGTTGTATTGGGTTTCCATGCACTGACAACTCCTGATTCCTAATATAGTCTTATAGATAATGTATCTCACTTCGAGATATGAATACGGATAAAAAGCAGTTAAGATTTTGTCATTATGCTTTTCATACTATAAAAATGGTATTATTTCACAAGTTTACTAAGTCATTACTTGTTGCTTTGGGCCATCTTAGTAGATGTGGACTATTAGGTTAGAGACGTTGGATGCCGTGGCCTAACCCCAGCTTCAGTGCCACACTTTCATTCGTTCTCTATCTTAAAATCTTGAGTTGACTATCGTGTCAAATCATTCTTTAATCTTTCCTTTTCTGATTTAGATATCTCACGTTTTATTTCCCATTCCATCTAATATAACTAACCATATGATTTTGAGATGATGGAGAAGATTTGTAGCTCAGGTGGATGATTTTGATGGATTTTTGTTCTGTGAGCTGGATGGTTTGGTCGTGGAGCTTCATGGTTCTTCTGAACGACATCATCAGCACAAACTTCAGATAGAAGTGAAGTGTTCGAACTTCTCCATATGCGTTTCACAGCTTGCTCTGTACACCTCGATGTTGATTGGTTCTTATTGACCTTAAATTTGTCATTGTTTACTTCTTTGTTTCGGTTGTGTCTCCCACTGGTTTGATTTTTGTTGATTGCTGATTGACCTGAGTGCCAGGCTTCTAAAAATTCTCTGGTGCTTTTGGAATTTCCTCTGTCTAAGATTTCTACATTTTTCCAATCGAATGAGTGTCCGTAGTTGTCCACGTGTATTGATATAAGTGAGGAGATATCATGGCGTTTGACTGCTAATTGATGTTCATGTAGGCGAAGGTGAAGGGGGCGTCCGCTTTGTCCGATGTAGTGTGTTTCGCAGTCGGCACAATTTATTTTGTAGATGATGTTTGATTTGTTTTCCTTTGTTATTTCACCCTTTGGTTTGCATAGGATTGATTGTAGTGATTTTGTCGGTTTGTGTGCCACACCTATCCCGAAGGTTTTCAGCAGTCTCGTTGTGGTTTCTGATATGCCTTTTATGTATGGTAGGGCGATCCTTTTGTTGATTTCTCTGCTTGACTTGAGTTCTGATGCTGCGCGCGGTTGGTATTTTTTGATGAAGTTGATTGGGTAGCCGTTCTTTTGAAATACGTCCTTCAGGTATTGCTCTTCATTTTTTCGTGCTGCCAGTGTGTCCTCGCCCTCTTGTACAAAGTGTGTACGCAGTTGATTTTGTGAGCTTTTGGGTTGTTGCTATTGTAGTTGAGAATTTGATCCGTATGGGTCGGTTTCCTATACACTTGAGTTTCCATTTTTCTTGTGTCGGTCCTAGTGACCAATATATCCAAGAATGCTAGTTCGTTGTTTGACTCCTGTACACCTAATGAATAAAGCCATTAATAATAATAATAACGGATGCACACTACAGGATCCGCAAATACCAACACGCCAGAGAGGACCAAAAAATGAAGCTACAAAGGACACTCACGTCAGAACATTTGGAAATCTTGTCAACAGCCATCGAGATATCATGCAAACGACGCAGAGAACAAAGAAGAAACATCTTAAAGAAAAAACTAATCAAGATCTCAAAACCACCCATGGGAGAAAACACAAACAACTGCGTGATCAATCTGTCGAAACAACCACTAACGAATACGGAGGAACACCTACTCCGAAAGGGATTAAACTAAAATACAAGCGACGCCTCAAAACTGGAATTCTTTGCAGCACTAGAGTAATCAAGACAAAAATTTGGATTCGCTATATAGACGGCACATTCGTCATCGTCAAAAAGAGTGAACTGGAAAACACTTACAAACGGATCAACAACGTTTTCAATGACATCAAGTTCGCAATGGAAAAAGATTACTAACTCTTCGTGTACATTTTGTCAACGTCCTCCATCCTCTATGCTGACTTGTGGTTCCTATAATTGAATGACTTATCTAACTGATTGTCGATATGTTTGATCTATGCAGCCAACCGTTATAAAACAATTTTTAACGAAAAATATTTTTTTCCCTAATATCTCTTTATTTCCTGCCTATTTTCTTATATCTTAGCCAATCTATTACAACAGGTTCAAAACGTAAATGGCAACTGGATAAAATTGAACTGGATACAATCATGGAATTGGAACATTCCACGGCTGTTTGTTTGAAACCTGTGCAATCACCACCATCATCGTTATTATTATCATCGTCATCATCAAACATGGAATCATTACAGCATGTATCCGTATCGATAGATGCTTTAAATTTACAAACTAAACCAATCCCACCCTTTTCTTGTTCAAATCCTATGTTGTATAAATCACTAAGCTCCGATCATATTGAAGCCGTGGGACGTTATTCTTCAGGATCGTCAATGCTTTCAATCACTGGATCATCAGATAATAATTCTGAGAGTGATGCTTCGTCACATGATGCTGACATTGAAGATGCAGATCATGGTGACTTAATCTGTTTCAAAGGTGGTAGATCGTTGACAAGAATTAGTAGACGTAAATCATCTATTCTCGATAAACATTCTTATGAATTATGGAGACCAATGGATACTGTGTATCATGCTTCTGGGGGAGGCGGTGGTGGCGGTGATTCATCGGACGGCCTGTCAATAAATATTAAAATTCCACGATTAACATCAATACACTTACATAATACAACTGGACTATATTGTGAACATTCATCGTCTAGGTTATCACCGGTTATCTCATCTAGTTATCAACAAACTAAAAGAAATACTATCAGTGGTATGTTAGCCTCGTCATCATCTGATACAAATCATTGTCGCCGTGGTCGTCGTAACAAGAAATGCAAGTGTAGACCGCGAAATAAGAGTGATACTACTGATGATAAACATGGAGAGTAAGTATATACATTTTTCTACTATTGTTGCCGAGTGTATAATATTCAATTGTGTTTATCTCTCACTTAAATATATATTTATTCAAAATTTAAAAGAATTTCATACGCTTAGTTCCCTGTATTATTTTAAGGAGAGCAAGAACAGAGAATTAAGTAGAATGACATAAATTCATTTTATGTCGTTAGGTTCTCATCAGTTGCTTATAACCTATAATATTTTAGAATCAAGATTATCGTAGTGTTTACATACTTCTCAAATTTGCCGAAGCCATAGCTATCAAACGCTTCAAGTTGGATTTATTTATCTAAAAGGAGACACTTGCGAATCCTTCTTTACCATGGTGACCTTATCGTCAGCTCATTACGTCATTCTTGCATTTTTTCTCCTACTTTGACTGTATCATTTCCTTTAAATTCATAGTTTTATTTTTAGCTAACTGATCTCAGCTCATATCATTCTTAATTGCAATTAATTTATGTCCAACTACTTCATTACGTAACCAATTAGTTATCTTAGCTATATGATCCCTTGTTACTATGTCTGATGATCCAGAATCTTCACTTAGGTATTACATTTATTTCCAACACTGGGTGTCTTCACTTTCATTACTCCACCATGATGATAAGTATCCAATTTTACTGTCCCAAATTCGTAAGCTTAACGGTAATTTAGATCTTAAAATGTGACAGGTTGTAAACTGCTAATGAGAACCTAGCCACATAAAATGAATCCATGTTACTCTTCATATTTCTTTGCTTTTGCTCTCTCTCTCCCTTAGATAGTTTGACGTAGTCGATAAGAATCCAGAGTCTTAGACGTTTTATCTTAGTTGATACCCGTTTATGGGGCGCATTTGTAATGTCACTCTCGGGGTTCGAACCCACATCACACAGTACCACAAGTAACCTGGATGATATGGTAGTGTAAATGGTAAACATTCAACTAACAGGTCACAGATTCAAATCCTTGTCCAATTCCTTCAGTTCAGGCAACTAGAAAGCATCACAGGCAAATAAAAAGTATGAAATAACTCGGCCTCAAATGCAGTAGAATATGACGAATGGATACTACCGTACCATTGTGGCTGACTTTGAGTTGTCATCCAATGTATGCAGCCATAGTTTATGGCTATTACGCAGGCTTTAACGAGAAATTTTATTTTATAGAGAACATATATTATTGAATAAATCAATTATTAATAAGTATTCACTAACACCGTCATTGAGTATCCATAGATATCTACAATTCATGTATGGAACCTCATAAAAAATTTATTGTTACTGAAAAAATGTTATCGTTGCTATTATTTATCATTTATTCCTCTATCAGACATATCTGTCATAAAAGTTGTATCAAAAATGGCTCACATTCTTCGTCTAGTTCATCATTGTCAACTGAAGAATCATCCGATGAGAAACGTTCGAAAGGTATATTCAAATATATTTTATCAAGTTAATTTCTACAGCCTTATTTACCCAGTTAATCTTCTATACATTTTGATATTATTTAACTATTTAATATACGTAAACGGTTTAACATCGAGGATACTGTGCACTACTAGTTTAACAGTGTGTCATTCCACTTGGAAATAATACACAGTAAGACTGGATTGGCAAAATGATAAAAATGTTACCAGTATGAGTTTGTAGAGATTGTTGAGTTTATTTGAGATCACGAATCGATCGAAGTTAGACAACCATTGGAAACCTGGAAATATTGGAATGGCTTTCTCCCTAGTATGGGAATCCCCGGCAGTTTTCAATATCGCGGATTGATTGAAGTTAGATTTGTACATTATTGGGTTCTGGATTAGTGATTTAGAGGCTAAGCGTTCGCGCGTGAGACGGGTCCTGGGTTCGAGTCTCACGTGCGGGATCGTGGATGTTCACTGATACGAAACGGCCGTCCAGTGCTTCCAGATTTTCACTGGTGGTCTAACATTTATCGGTTCATGATTTTATTGAAATGCCACTATCACCATAACCCCAAACTGAACATATATCCTTATTGTATGGTTATTAAGCAGCTACATTACTGTGTCTATGTATTCTGTTTATCATAAGTTTTCTGTTGACGCATTAGCTAGTCATACGACTTACTATTCCTAATTTGTTACCACTCCATTACTCACCTTTTCTCTCATTTAGAGCCACTTTTGGCTTGTTCAGGTATAATTGTTACTTTTCATTTCGTGATGTGATACGTTCCTGCATGTCTGTATATAAACCATTTCTGTTGAGAAATAATTATAGTGGAAATTGCTTGTTGACCCAAGGCAGGGCATAGAGAGCAGCTTGTGATGGGTTTATTAGAACTTAGCTGTTGGCTCAAGATTAATAGTTCTTGTCAGGAGTGTGATTGGCGGGTTTGGATACACTAGACTATCGAGGAAAAACGAGACGCGAAATGGACCAAATTAAAATTGGGATTTTGATTGTTGACTTGGCACGTGATATTGGTCAACCGTTCTAAGGTTATATGAGGGGGATTATTATTATTATTATTATTATTATTATTATTATTATTACTAAAGTAGTTGTATTATTCAGTAATCAAAACAATCTTAAAAGACCTATGTTGTTTAATTTGGCTACATTTAACAGTATATTATACTGGTCAAATTCTGAAATGATCTTTTTTCCCTACGTAAATACCGTTTCTGGTGTTTAACATGACTCTTTAAACTGAATTATGCCATTTTTACGTTAAAATATATAATATTGACGTCCAACTCTCGCTGGATGACCTCTAACAATTATAATGATAATAAAATGTTTCCATAAGTATATTAGGTCTGATCAATATGCGAGATACATAAGATGATCCCTGTAATTCTTTTACCACTTGGTGATGTTAAAACAAGTTAGTCGCACGATACGGGATTTATTACAACTGCAAGTCAGAATACTTACTTAAAATTCGTATCAATAGTACAGAATCTCAAGATATGTTCTCTATTAAATATTTCCTCACCATCTGTTGACACTTGTGATATAACAAACGACAACGAACTGAGCTAATTTTAACAAGACAAATTAAAATAGGTAGATGAATAACTAGTACATGAATCTTTAATGTAGTCAAACAAATCAATAACACTGACCCTGGCAGCCACATTGACAGATGCTATCAACTGTATTATAGCATAAAATTTAGTGGTTATGTGCTATGATAGTTTTCTTTTATCTTGTGCTGAAATAGTACTATATTGCATATCTGTTAGTGTACGTGATTTGGAGCACAAGCTAGTGGCTATCAGGACTCAGTAGCTAAATGGATAACGCGGTGGCGTTTGAAACGAACGGTATTGGGTTCGAGTCCCGGAGTGAACATCAACAGTAAGATGCAGGTACATCCTTTTGACGAGTCCCAAATAGGATGAAACGCGCATCATGGATTTCACTGCTAGTCACCATCCATCTTTGCTTACAAGTCTATATTTAGTTTGTCTTGAAATAATAAATTCAGCTGTAATTCGCTATTTATTGTCCAACTATACCTTAATGTTGACTTAACGTAACTAAATATTTCTCTGTGTTTATCATACACAAAAGTGTTTCTTTTATGTATTCCAAGATTATCTATTTTTAAATACAAGAATCATTTCACATCTGATTAATCTTTGGAAACTAGCTATTAGTGAATGATTGTTTCATCCTATATATTCTTTTAAACTCCACCATTATGAATCAACAATGATCCAGTTTGAATTAACGTTTCCTCAGACTCCCCAGTCTATATTTAGTGGTTAATTATTTACAGTTGTAATGTTATTTTTCATATTTCGAAGGTTTCATTGTATACAAACATCGATTCACCTCTATACCAGAACATCAGAACACTTGTGATACTGATATGATGAATGTGACTTGTCGTAATAAGAAAACTATTCAAAAAATCATCAAATCACCATCTATCATAACAGATAACAATCGTTGTAAAACAGTTGTTGATCCGTTCAATTCAAAATATCAGTTAGATGATTCAACTAATTCAACTCTAGATGAACCTGTTGATCCGGAACTGGCTAATCTTTTACATGTAAGATCAGGTATTTTATCTCTCCATTCTTTTTTCTTTAATTGTTTTTCCACATGGAAGTACCGAGACGGATAGAAAATAATCAATGCAAGTTGTAAAGATTAGTAGCAAGAGATTGGTTGCATATTAGAGTGAAACATCTTTTCAGTTCTCTTTAGTTTCTGATAGTTTTCCAGACGATACTAATTTGTGATGTAGTTTTCATGTATATTATTATTGGCTTTTAAAATCTATAACAAAGTAACTTTGTATGAATATGGAGGATTTACTTGGAGTGGGACAACCGAGATTCCCAACCAACGATCTACATGGGTTATGGGATCCTGAAGGAAAAAAAAATAGAGTATGAACCTATTTTTGTTCACTGGCTACTATGAAACTACATCTCCTAACGTTACTCCACTACCTCATGGATTAGACCTGTAAGTCAAAGGCTTGGAGAGTGACCTCCTCTCTGTGCCCACCAGCCCGATTAAAGCGCCTGTCATTCGCTTTTCATCCTCTCAATTTCGTAGACAACACCCGCACCGAGAGAAGGCAGTGAGTATGACTTCCCTGGCAGTGGTTGTATGCACTTGGCCATGTGAGAACATTTCGAGAGTGAGAGTTGACTCTCCGCACTCTTGAAGGAATATTATTCCTTAGCCTAACAATCATCTCTTCAATTTATCTATATTTATATAAATTATGATTATGTTCATTTGTTTGATTATGTTTTGCTTTTTTCCTTATAATCTTAATAAGGGAACTTGGCCATTATTAAGTAACAGAGCAAAATTAAATTATACAAAAGCAATGAATTTATCTAATTCAAAACGATATCCTAATTTAAAAAAACGCAATACATCTAATAATCATAAAATGAAAGAGGATTCAAAATCTATCCAACAAAATTCAATTAAATTTCTTCCATCTAAATTAAATCAATTTTATGTACAAAATGATTCAATATGTAAGGTAAATTTTGACTTACAATAATTATGTTTGTTTGTTATTTTATTATTATTACTATACGTTTTGTTATGAGACCCGAACGTTGTTGCTACCTTGATATGGTGGCTAGGCTTGCCCATCGTGATGAACCAATCCAGCTATACTAGCTGGAACAATCGTTCCTCAATATCCTACCATGCCAGACAGGTCGGTCGAAAAGCGGTAAGACTAAAAGCAGCGAACCCAAGGTTCGAGAGAGAAGTCGTACTGCTGACTGTACAGAGGTATGACAGCAGTATGGTGTTTCCTTCAGACAACCGGTATAACAGTGACCCTGCCTTCGCACAAGGGATGGTGGGGTTAGAAAAGATCGACCCTAAAAATGCACACCTGGCCTTATCCCACAGACATCCGTCTCTGGCGGTAAGATTTCAATAAGTACGGAGCTAACACGAAAACTACTCACAAAATGGTTGTGTGACCGACCTCAAGCGGTTGTCTCTTGAGCATTGCGGCCACGCTCTCAGGTCACTAAAACCACCTCTAATCCAATTTCCTTTTCAGGTACCTCCAGAAGAACCCTTCCACGGTGTGGGCAACCGAGAAGTGATAACCGTCTTCATACCTATAACAGCACTCAAGACCATTGTACTCATAACCAACCTCCGTCTTTTGACTGACTGACTTTTGTTATGAGAGTGTTAGAGAGAGATACAGGGAAAATGGTAAAATCTGAAAATTTCTAGATTTTCAATCGAATTATCAAAAAGTGATAAAAATCAAAGTAATAACCCATTAAAATTCTTAAACTACTTACTCAAGTCTGTTACTCCCAACAGAGCATAGACCGCCGGTTAACATACTCCAACCCATTCTGTCCTGGTCCTTCATTTCTAATCTTATCCAATTGTTGTTCATTCTTTTCATATCTGTCTTAATTTCTCAGTGTAATCTGTTATTTGGTCTTTCTCTCTTCCTTTGTGGTTGAGGATTCCATGTGAGGGCTAGCCTCGCGACGCAGTTGGGTGCTTTCCTCAATATGTGTCCTATCCACTTCCAGTGCTTCTTCTTGATTTCTTCCTCCGCTGGGATCTGGTTTGTTCTCTCCCACAGTAGATTGTTGCTGATAGTGTTAGGCCAACGAATCTGTACTATTTTGCGTAGACAACTGTTAATAGATACCTGTATCATCTAGATGAGGGCTTTCATCATTTTCCAAGTTTCCGCTCCATACTGTGTTGACATTTGTATTGAAAATCCTGACTGGTGTTGATTGACAGTTGTTTTAAATCCCAGATGTTCTTCAGTCGTGAATATTTCTTCGATAATGTTGATTTCGGTAAATTGAATTGTTTGTGACGAATATTATGTTTATTTTTCCTTTAGTGCTGATTGATTTTCATTGATGAAGTTAAAATATGGGCCATAAGTCGAATTAACTGAACATAGCTCGTACTATGTTGAGATGTTAAGTGGCTAAAAGTACTCAGTTACTTCGATTAATGGAATCCGATAAATATCAACCTGACATTGGCCAGTACTCAGTGATTATTCAGTTGTAAATATCTCTGTTCTACAGGAGGTCAGTCGTGATCTGAATAGTTCTATGATAACATAACAGACTGTGAAGCTAGGTGACTTGGGTTCTAATCCCTTGGAGCACATTGGTTTTCTCAACATTGCAGGTACACGTCGCTGACGAGTACCAACTAGCACGAAACGCCGTGTAATCAGTTTTTTTCAAATCTTAACTCCTATTAGACCACAAGTTACATCCACCCCAGTGTCTAATCAGATAATAAAGTTAGCAAGTACATCTCTTCTCTGTTTTATTCTATTTGATTGGATAATTCAATTCATACTATCCGTATTAATTTCTTAATCACACACCATCATAAATGATAAAATGCACTATATGCATGACTACACCATAAGTTAAGGAGCAACTTAATAATTAATTAACAGTGAATTGAGAAAAGTAAAGTGTACAATAATACCTTATGTGCCATACCAAAGATATCTATTAGAGTTATACAATAAACACCTTGACAATAATTCTTCATAGGATAGATCTACGAGTTACAGGTTTCTCGATATTCATCTCGTTATAATAGTTTCCTATTATATCAGATAACAATGTTTATGCTAATTTTATTTAACATACCTCAGCTAGTTTCTTGTTATCAATTACTAATGAATAAAGTATCATTATTTCCCGATACAAGACCAGGTATGGCAACTTGGACCAATGCACATGTGTGCCTGGTCCTACGTTGTAGCTGATTGACTGACAAAACCAGCTTATAAATATAATTCTCTCTGTGATATTTTTCCTCAGACTGATAAATCTAACCGTCAAATGCCTACACCTCCATGGATGATTAGTGACAATGAGTCATTACGGGATTCTGATGAATTTGACTCTGATCATAATAAAAAAGTACATACTCCCTGTGTGAACAATCAACGTCCATGTATTGACAATTGGAAAGCAGAAGTGTCCAATGCTAAACCATTAAACGAGGTAAATTTCACTTTTATTTTCTTTCTGTTAAATTTCGGAAATTCAAAACTTGCAAATAGTGATCAGTTTTGTACTCAAAAGAATCTTAAACAAACAGTTCCCAACTGCTTCTTAGTCTCTAAACTTCCTTCATTATTGGATTTAAAATAAGAAAAGAAAAGACGCAGATAGCCATTCACGACATTGTTCGGATATTCGCTTACCAAGTGCATACTTTGTACGCTAATCGGTAATTGCCCACTTAGTCAATCACAATGTATAACCTTGTATGTATGTACATCAGTTCAAGTTGACATACCCCATTAGCACACAGAGATGAAATTGTCAGATCAAACCCTACAATAATAGAGGTAGTTGCAATATCAATAGTAGTAGAAAAGATTAAGCATCGAATATGTCATTTAAGAAGAAAATAGAAATTAGTGGGATATGAACATAAACAAGACTATGAGGAAACTAGAATTTGGGGTAAGACAGTTAATGGATGGACCTGCGTCATTACAAACAAACCTGAGCTACGTCACTTAAAGTCCCTAACCACTGGTTATGATAATCACATTGACAGCAACCATGTTGTCCACACCTGTTAACATGACTCAGTCAAAATGGTAATGACTTCTTGAACTGATGCTACGTTCTGGTTTGACCGCCCTTACATTTCTCTAACCGACTCCCACAACAGACGATATCGTCCGTCCAAGTAGGCATCGTATTCCGACATTAGAAAGCCTAGTATTTGTAGTCACTATTTGTTAATAAGTGTACCAGCGATTGATCTCTGCCGCGATGCGCACTGCTGATGAGTCCCATGGTATGACAGAAATATCATCCAGTAATGCTTTTTAGTTCTCTGTGCTTGTTTAGCTAATGACAATCTGTTTATATAAACGAAAAACTGAACAATCGCAACCAGTCCCCCAAATAGTGGTAACCATTTGATCGATTAAAGATTACAGTAGCATTGTAAACATAAATGCTTTTTGAGACCTGTTTATTCTTTCTCTACCTTTAAAATAATATTCCATAACAATGTACTTTGGATTACTTTTGTTTTGTTTTGTAGACCAATAAAGGTCATTGTTTATTGCAAAAACTTGGTTGGAAACCTGGTGATAAATTAGGGCAAAATGGTAAAGGTCTAATCACACCAGTCAATTGTAAAAAAGATAGTCATTCGTTTCCGATATGATTGAGACATCCCCTTTTTAAGTATTTTTTTGTAATTTCTAATCTGTTTTTCACTCTGCAAAGTGCTTGTATATAAATAGTATGTAATTCTAATGTTACAATCAGATATGGTGCTCTCTTTTGTTGGAAATAACATCAAAGGACTGAATTTTAATCATTACATTTTACATATTCAAATGTGTCCTTCAATTGATATCTACTTACGTACTTACTTACGCCTGTTACTCCCAGTGGAGCATAGGTCGCCGACCGGCATTCTCCAACCCACTCTGTTCTTGGAACTGATTTTTACTTTCATGTATATACTGTTGTTAATGTCTTTTTCCATGAATCAATCAAAATAGTCTGTGATTCTTTTTTTGTCTTTTTCCACTGTTGAATTTTTGTTCCTAATCGGTGTTCTTTCTTCTTTCAGTCTTATTCAGTTGAATAAATTGTTTGTTTAATAAATTACTTCTGATGATGTTGTGCATCGACCCCCACTTGTTATAGGAATTTCCTTTAGAACGACTATGAAAAAAACATCTTGATTAAACTATTTACCTCACGGAATATAACATTATTTAATTATTTGAACACAAATATTGGTACAAGGGGGCACCAAATATATATGCGCCACACAAAACAATGAGAATGGGAAGAGAGAAAAAAGAAGGTAAGGAGTGTAAAAGAAAAGAAAAGAACAATAACCACCAGATTAGTGTAACGTAGTGTAGTAATAATAATAATAATGGGGGAGACGGAAAGATACAATCGGAAGAAATCTTTCAGTTAAGGAAGATACAACCACTGTTTATGAAAAAAGTAAAAGAAGGTTACAGCAAGATCGCCAGTGGCTTCTATTCTGAGCCATATCTGATAACGTCTCTATCCACTGTGTTGCACCATCTCTCGGACCCCAGCCAGGGAGTCGTGAAGGACCAACAGAAGCCAGTCCTATACAGCTTTCTTTCATACCACGACACAATGTCATACACTGCCCACCTCTGTTTTTTTCTGACCAGTCCCAGAGTCGGCAAATAGTGCACGACGGGGAATTCTCTGGGACGACATTCGTAGAACATGTCCAAGCCACCGAAGTCGGTGTTTCAAGATGGTGGCACCAATTGGATTGTCGTCCTTGTGCCCGAGCACACGATGCCGAACCTCTGTATTACTAACATGGTGTTGCCACTGGATGTCAGCAATCCTTCGGAGACAGCGATGATCAAACATAGAGAGTCGTCTAACATTCTCAACTCGGAGAGGCCAGGTTTCACAAGCATAGAGCAAAACTGCTCTCACCGACGCGTTGTAGATCCGACCTTTTACAGCCAGACTGACATCGCAAAGATGGCCCAAATTGGCATAAACCGCTCTGGTTTTCACTATACGTGCATTGATCTCATCACTCACATTCCCACCAGCACTTATGCAGCTACCCGGATACACGAACTTCTCAACTACGTCTATCTGCTCACCATCCAGGGTGAGCGCAGGATTGGAATCCTGCCAGTCTTGTAGAAGTACTTTGCACTTCGAAGGTGCAAAGCACATACCATACATACGGACACTGATTGCCAACTGATTAAGTGCGGATTGCATGGCTCGGGTGTTATCTCACAGTAAGATAATATCATCCGCATACTCAAGGTCGAGAAGTCTTTCTCCAGGCAACAAAACCACATCTCCATTACTTACATCCGTCAGAGCTGTTTCCAGAATGTCATCGATGGCAAAGTTGAATGGTGAGATTGGGCAACCCTGCCTAACCCCACTGCTTGAATAGGACAGTGTAGAGAGGTGGTTGTGTGCCCTCACCCTACCTGAGGTGTTTTTTCATAGGGCTGTTGAGATGTTAACAAACTTCTCAAGCACACCCTTCTTCAATAGGCAATCCCAGAAAACAATCCTGTCCAACGAATCGAAGGTAGCCCTTATGTCAAAAAACACCACACAAATAAAATGGAAATGACAATATTTACTGAATATAACACTGACAAAAGTTGTCTATCAGTATGAGGTTGTGAAGATTATCATTTCTTGATTGAGATCATGAGTCGATTGGTGCTAGATCACCATTAAAAACCTGGCAACACCAAACGACCGTTTCGTCCCCTCAACTCCATAGTTTTCATGTGCTCACTAGTGACTAGCTTCGTGAGGGAATTCTCGAAGTGAGGAGCTGTGACCAGTGGAGCTAGTCCATGTCTGGTAGAGACAGGTATCTAGCTCATTACAATGAAAGTTGGTCGCACAATTTAGTGTATTGGTTGAGTTTAGACATTAACACCGTTGGATGCCGGCTTAGTGGTCTAGAATTTAAGTGTTCACGTGCGAGACCGATAGGTTTTGGGTTCGAAGGAAAGAACGGAAACGGAAGGCAATTGATATTTACGAAAGGAACAGTCAAGTTTGATAGTTTGCACATTATCTATTAACGGTATAGTTCTCAAATTTTAGTAAGACGTACTGTAATTTTGTGTACAGATACATTCGATTGACCCCACTTGTGTTCTTGTTCCCTACACATCTACACCCTTTGCTTCGTACTGTTTATCAAGGAGGTTGGTCAGTAGTAAGGATACTGTGAAGAAAAATCAAAATATCTCTGCATAGAAATGGAATCCAAATCTTAAATGGATAAATGACAGGTTCTTGATAGTCTTGAAAAGGTTAAAACCTCACAATTGATTGATCACTGGGTGGTGATCAATGTCATATGTGTCAAGTCCTTATTTATAATGCAGATCGAATGCTATCGACCTCCCTAACAAATAATTAAGGTGTAGTGTTTAAAACAATCTTTATCATCCTGTACACAACCAATCAGAATAACAAAGTTCTAAATTTTCCACTCTTCCCCCAAAGTATTTTTGAAACAATTTGCAATGTGCACACATAAACACACACACACAGGTCGTATATTGGTGAATCTATCGATTACAATATCTGTGATGATGGGGATCAAGGTCGTGATTTCATTAGGTTACATTGATTGGACCACTAAAATATATATAAATGATGTGCAGTAACTATCGATGAAATATGATACAATTATATCTATATCCTTCCTTATTCTAATAATGATGTCTATTGAAATTACTCAACTCATTTTCCAGAGAATATTGTCCTTTATTATTATATTGAATATAGTTTACATTACTATTATACATAGTAATCATAATAATAATTATTATTCACCTAATATGTTATGTCCAAGTGGTTATTGGCCAGCTAAAGTAAATTTAACTGGTGGTCATTATAAAACTGATCGAACATTTGAATTACTTTATCATTCTAATGCTAAATTACCTATATGTCAATTTTGTCCAAATGTTGGCTGTTTTATTGTACGTTTATCAACAATAGAAACAAAGAAAAGTTCATCAATCAATAGTGTCAAAACAACACAATCATCATTGATACCTACCACTACTACTACTAGTAGTAGTAGTAGTACTATTTCGACCATTCAATCAACTATAAATGAAACAGATTCAAGTTCTATGAATAATAATAATAATATAACTGGAATAAATGATTTCAATGAAACTATGGAACAAACTATTCATGATGCTTTATATATGTCATGTGATCATTGGAATAATTTACCATCACCAACCGATATAATTAGTTATTTAGATTGTGTTATGATTGGTAATAATGATCAATTTTATTTATTTATATATGAACCAAGATTTCAAGAATATTCATTACCACCAGTTGATTGTATAGATGCAGATTTTTTAGCATGGATTAAAAATGATAGTGAATTATTAGGTTTAGAATTAGGATTTCGTATGAAAACTATACCACCATTTTTATTTCGTTATTATCAACGTATAATGCAAGTAAGTTAATATTATATACTTAAGTATAAATAATATATATTAGAAAATATATTGTTGAACAATTTCTCCACCTTTAAATGAAAGTTGTTGCTTCAGGACTAGTCTGCGTCAACACCTGAACTAAGGGTAGGGAGTGAAGTAGTCGAACGCGTTGACAACTTCACTTATCTTGGAAGTCTGATCAGCCTTAATGGGTTGGTGTCTGACGAAATCTCAGCACGGATTCGAAAAGCTCGTTTGGCTTTTGCCAACTTACGTCACCTATGGCGAAGACGAGATATCCGTCTATCAATAAAAGGACGAGTATACTGCGCGGCAGTCCGTTCTGTTTTACTTTACGGCAACGAAACATGGCCATTAAGAGTAGAAGACACTCGTAAGCTACTAGTATTTGACCACAGATGTCTTAGAAATATTGCTGGCGTCTGCTGGGATCACCGAGTAAGTAATAGTGAGGTTAGACGCAGGGTATTAGGAAATGATGGTAAATCAGTTGATGAGGTTGTGAATCTTCATCGACTGAGATGGTTGGGCCACGTGTTACGTATGCCTGAATACCGATTAACACGACGTGCAATGCTAACCGTGTTGGAGATGGTTGGAAGAAAGTTAGGGGCGGCTAAACCAAAACGTGGCATCACTGCTTGAAGACACTAACTTCTAGTCTGAACCATGTTGGTAGATGCAGACTACTTGGTTGGGGTCCGCGTGACTATCGTAACCAATGGTTGGGGACTTTGTATGACATGACTCAGAATCGATTACAATGGCGTCGGTGTATACACTCTCTCTCTTCCTTTAAACTACGAGGTTAAAATCACCTCATATCTTTGTTTCCACGATCTAATTCTTTCCTCCTATAATATGTTCTTGGAGAACTGTTAACTGTTGGCATTACTTACGCCTGTTACTCCTCGTGAAGGAACATAGGCCGCTCACCAACATTCTCTATTCAACCCTGTCCTGGGCAATCCTTTCCAGTTGTTATTCATCATTTTCATATCCGCTTTTATTTCCCGACGTAATGTGTTCTTTGGCTTTCTTCTTTTCCACTTTCCTTCAGGATTCCAAGTTAGGGCTTGCCTCGTGATGTAGTTTGACGATTTGCGTAATGTATGTCCTATCCATTTCCATCTTCTTTTCCTAATTTCTTCTTCAGGTGGAAGCTGAATTGTTCTCTTCCACAAAAGGCTGTTGCTAATAGTAACTGACCAAGGACATTGAGTATCTTACATAGGCATTTGTTCATATCCTATTGAAAATAACTTGACTATTAAGACAAATTTCAGATAGAAGTGAACTATGAAAAGTTTTCTACGAGTAATCACTTGTTCTTTCTACTTTGGATTTGAGTGATTGTTGTCAACGCTAACTCCTACTGTTTTTCTAATTCATTTCAGTTAACACAATATATATGTATTGATGGAAGAAGTTTAATAAATAATTCTATACCATTTGAAGATACTGAACGTTTTGCTAGTAATAAATTAACACAAGTTGTATTTCGTTCATTAACTGGATTAAAAAGAGAACGTTTACCACCAAAACCACTTGATATTCATCATATAACAGAATTTCAAAGTGATGAAGAAGTTCAATCATGTCCATTTATTGTTCAACATAAACCAGCTAATATTACATCAAATGTAGATTGTCAATTTTCACCAAGTGTAAGTTAATTATTTCTGTTGTTATCATTGAACTATTTAGTAATCTATTTATTTGTGAGAATGGGTTTTGTGGAGATTTTAGAAATTTCACTGGTTGAAGTCATGAGTCAATTGAAGCTGGACCACCATGGAAAACCTGGAAGCACTGGACGGCCGTTCCGTCCTAGTATGGGACTCTTCAGCAGTGCGCATCCACGATCCCGCACCCCGCGAGATTTGAACCTAGGGCCTATCAGTCTCGCGCAGTTTGTGTTGATTATTTGAATTTATCAAATGATGTTAAGGATTGCAATTGATCAATCATTTCTGCTGGAACATCAACTCTAGGATGTATATATATAACTGACGAACCCTAAATAAAATGAAATATACATCCTGGATTCCACGGCTAGCTACCATTCATCTCTGCTTATAATGCAACTAAATAGATTGTTTTCTAGAGTATTCTGTTCCTTGGGCTGGATAGTTGAATTGTCAAGCTTTCACTGGCTTTCTTTGCAATATCATCAGCTCATTTTTTTCAAAAGAAGTGAGTTACTAAAATTTCTCCATAATTGACTAGCTCTGCTCAAAGTATAAAACACCTTTTAAATTCTCATCCTGAGCTACAAATATTCTTCATTGCAAAATAGTTTGTTGAATTTAATGGAAAGATAATAGTTATGATTTAAACATCTCAGTAGGATAAAGTACTAACTAACTGTGACAATGGGAGACATGAATGTTATTGTAGGCATCAATTCCTCTCCATTTTACTCCAATAGATGATATTCCGTTTACTGAGTGTTTAAGCAGGCCAATTCTCCTGTCAATATTTTTAGTTTAGTCGAGAATATTCACAAGCCAGAATACCAATTGATGAGATAGTGTATTGTTACTAATTATAATGAAATTTGTAAGCACATTGAGAACAGAGAATGTGAGAGGTAACTAATCCTACCTTACCTAAGAACAAATCAGGTCGTAATTACACATTTGTTGATGAACTTTTATTTCTCTATCGTTTTACAAAGTGAACACAATTATTTATTCATAATTCATAACAGTAGCTAGTGAATGATTTACTTCTCGTCTAAATTCAAGTTATGCTAATAGTTGAATTTATGAGTCAATTTAAGCTAGACTACTATTGGAAACCTAGAAGCACTGGACGACCGTCTCGCCATAGTATGAGACTCCTCAGTAGTGCGCATCCACTACTCGAACCCAGAACCTTCGGTCTCGCGCGCGAACGCCCAACCTGTAGACAACTTAACCAGCATCCAATGGTGTTAATGTCTAACTTTAATCGACCCAAGTTATGTTAAACAATTTCGAATAACAGTTATTTGACTTTTTTAATCAATCAAAGAGCATCATAGTACCATACTGTTTTATTAATAGGGGATTGACTTTTCACTTACTCCTAACTATCCAATAACAAACTCAGTGAACTCCAATGTCATGCCACTTTCACTAACGCATAAATCTCAAGTTGATAAACAGAGATCGATACCGAGCAATACAAATCGGTGGTCAATCAGCGTGAGCATCTCAACGCTACAGAAATGAACAGTTAGTCGAACAGTTCAGCTGTTAAGTATCTAATCTTAATACTAGGTGATATCGGTTAGAATCTGCCAAAATACATAATTTTCTATACGATAGCAAATAAGCTTTGCTGACGAGTCCCACTTACTCCGAAACCTATGTCAACGTTAGTCGGCTTTAACTTAATAATATCAAATTTATTGAAGCATCTAGATAACAACTCACAGGTGATTGATTTGAGTACGACAATGGTGTTTTTCCTTTTGACTTAAATTATTATTACTGTGGTTACATTTGCATTCATAACACATTGAACGTCCTTTATTTTCAAAACTAGGGTTTACCAACTACATCGGATAAAGTTAGCTCACATCAAGCATTAGAACGTTGCCCATTTCGTCGATTAACGATAAATACATTACAGACAAGACGAAGAAAGACCAATAATCCAATGGAAGAAGAAATATATTTACCACCTTCTGTATTATCAGCTTGTTTATTAATTGTTGTACTATTATTAACCATTGGTATAATTATTGCATTCTGTATAATTAATCATGAAAAATTAATGTTATGTAAATCACGTAGTAGGAAACGACGTGAACGAGAAGCTGCACTTGCACAAGAGATGGATGAAAAAGCTGCTAAAGAAGCTGCAGCTGCCGCTGCCGCAGCAGAAGCTGAACAACAACAACAACAAACATCAACAATTCGACATCCTATTTATGCTAGATATGGTATGATACCACCGAATATGGGTGGTGCATTCGGTGCATTCGCTCCAACATATCAAACAATGACAGTTAACATGAATATGCCTAGTAATGTAGTAAGACAAAATCATGGATTTAATGGACCAATGTGAAAATACACAGGATTAATGATAATTTTCTTTATAAATATTCATTAAACTTTATTATTTATGGACGGAAAAAAAGGAATCAACAAACACTTTCTAATCAATAATCACTTAGATCTCCAATGTTTTACACAGATATTCATATGAAAACTATTTAGCAGTCTAAACTCATTTATTGTAAAACATAAAATACTTGAAATGTACCCGAAATGATTTAGTTTTTGTATGCATAAGGAAGTCAATATTTCAGTAGTCAATGAATCGAATTTTCTCCTTGATTATTTGTTTGAATACATGAATATTAGTACAAAACGGTACTGAATGCATATGAGCCACACAAGTCACTTGATTTGTGTGTACCCGGGTGCCCAAACAGAAACGGGTGGTTTTCTTATTCGCAAGGCAGTAGAACAACGTTAAAAAATGCAGTCTAATGGTAGCCGGTGACCAACAATGGGTTCATACGCTATTTGTTCCTTCAGGATCATGGAGCCCAGACAGTCAGTCAGCAACAATGTAGAACTTCGTACGTCGGTGCACCAGTTCCACTTGCCATACAACATTAGCACACAGATAAATTCTCCATTCAAATCTCATAGTGGTAGAGGTAGTAAAAGTATAAGCAGTAATCGGAAAAATTAGGGTTTGAAGATGTTATTCAAGGAGTGTAATCCAGTGAAACAAATTTGGAAAGAGAAAAAGGAAAGGGACATGAAGAATTCAGAAGATTAGAATTTGGGAGAAAACAGAGAGTGGATGCACCTGCTGCATTGCGAACGATTTCGAGCCATGTCATTCAGGGTCTCTAACCATCGGTTGCTTTCATCTCGTGGTCCCCAACCAGGTAGTCTACACCTACCAACATGACTCAGTCCACTTGTCAGTGACTTCATGAACTTGTGCTATGTTTTGGTCTGGCCGCCCCTAGCTTTCTTCCAACCTACTCCTATACCACTGAACATCGCACGTCGAGGTAGTCGGTCGTTGGGCGTACGTAACACATGTCACAGACATCTCAACTGATAAGTTTCACTACTTCATAAATTGATTTGCCATCCTTACCTAGTACCCGTTTCCTAACAACTGTGTTACTTACTAGATGGTTCCAGGATATGCGAGCAATGCTTCGAAGACACCTTTGATCAAATACTAGTAACCTACGAATATCCTCTACTCTTACCGGCCATATTTCACTGCCGTAAATTAGGACGGAACGAACTGCTGCGCAATAAACACGTCCTTTGGTTGGTAGACGGATACCTCGTCTACGCCATAAATGACGCAAGTAGGTAAAAGCTAGTCGAGCCTTCTGTATCCGTGCTGAGATTTCGTCACACACCAGACCACAAGGGCTGATGAGACTCCCAAGGTAAGTGAAGCGATCGACACGCTCAATTACTTCACTCCCTATCATTAGTTCGGGTGTCAATACAACCCAATCCTGAAGCAATATTTTGCATTTCGAGGGAGAATCATATGCCGAATATGCTTGCATTGTTGCTTTGAGTGGTCAGTTAATCCCACTGCTAATACTGGACCATCATCCTTAAAAATCTCAGGAGTAAACCTGTCAGGGCCTGCTGCTCTCCCTCGCTTCAGATTTCCTATAGCTTTACCAACTTCATGAAGAGTCGGAGGACCTACATTTACTTGCTATTCAGGTCGACTGGAGATCGTGGGAAACCGAAGTGTGGCTGAAGGTCAGTTGAACTGATCCCTAAAGTGTTCTCCCCGTCGATCAAATCTCCCGGATTGAGAATGAATATTATGTTCATCTTTCTCTGAGATTGTTTCGCTAACGGTCGGGTTCCTGATTCCGGTTTCCTTAACGATTCTGAACAATTGTCTGCTATTATCTATTTCCACTGTCTTTTCCATCTCTCTTGCTTTCGCTACCCACCACTGTTCACGATCATTGCGTAGAATTCTTGTCAGCTTGCGCTTAAGCTGACTCCGCTCTTCATTATGTTCAGAGCCAGGTGGAATGAGTTTTCGAGCATCTATCAGTGTGGTAGATGCTGCTGAGATCCAGTGTTGCTCGCTGACCTTATGGTTTACCGTACTAGCAGATATCACTGCTGTTTCCACAGCTTTTCGGATATCATTCCATGCTGCCTCGGGGTGGGCATCACATACATGGCTGCCTAACTGTTTTTCTAGTTGTTCCTGAAATATACTCTTAGCTTGGCTATCATTAAGTAGGACCCTAAGAGGTTTCCTTGCAGCGCCTTTCCTACGTCCAGTAAGACGCAGACAGATACGCGCTCGCACTAGAGCATGATCTGAATCTAGGCATGTGCTCTAGAATGAGCGACAGTCTTCTATCGAGCCCCTCCATCGGTGGCTGATAGCGATGTGATCTATTTGGGTCCAACGTTGGGACGAATTACGGGGTCGCCATGTTAAAACATGTTTTTCCTTTTGCTTAAAGTTAGTATTTCCAAGGAACAAGTGGTTATCTGAGCATAGCTGCAACAAACGGTGTCTTTCCCTACCGCTTAGTTTACCTACTTGAGCATTAAAGTCACCAGCCAATATTACTACATCAGAGCGCTTAGCTTTTCGGAGAAGGTCGAAGAACTTTCTGTAAAACTCATCTTTTACATCATCTGAGCTGCAGTCAGTGGGAGAATAGGCAGAGATGACGAAGAAGCAATGACGAGTGTCCCTATCTTTCCGGATCCTTACTGTTCCGTTCAGTCGGACAGCGCACAAACGACTGTCTACTGGGATCCACTCTAAGAGAGCTAGTTCTGCTCTAGGACTCAATGATATACCTACGCCGGCGAGGCCACAGGAAGCAGAATCAGGGCTTCCAGATACCCGAAGCGTGAATCGAGTCGGTTCTTTATTTTGACATGATGAGGTCAAATGAATGACACTACTCGGGTCCTGTATGCGCGTTTCGGAGACGCAGCACACATCGATGGCGTGAGATTCTAGAGTCCTAGCTAAGGAAGCTTGTTGTCCTATTTGGCACAGTGATTGGACGTACATTGCTTCCAGATTTTAAATGGTGGTCTAACATTGATTCATTTATGATATTAATCTACGCTCAACAATCTCCATAACCTTTTACTGATGATTTCAAATTAGCATAAAACATTCTAAAATTATGTAACACATATATTTCTTCCAACAAACGATAGAAATATATTGACCGGAATCGAATTCAATTAATAACCACACTCGTCACCATCATGATCAGGTTGTTTCTCTTCTTTTAATTTAATCAAATCATCAATTCGTAGAATAGTGATAGCGGCTTCAGTAGCAAATTTTAAACTTTTAATTTTAGAAACAAGTGGTTCAAAAACACCTAATTCTTTGCAGTCAGCCACATATTGACTATTTAAGTCCAATCCCCACCTGAATAGATTAAAAATAAAGGGATAAAAATGTTAGTCTATCGAAAATAAAAACAAAGTAAATGAGTAGTTAATAATAAGTAGTTTAAATATATGCAGAATTAACTTGGAAATAAGAAACAGAATTTATATGTTAATATACAATTAATATCAACAAGTCTTTCTTAGATACGTTTCTTTATGGTAAGTAAATCAAATCTAACTTTATGCTTCTATAGTAACTTATGAAACACTGCCAAACATACAAAATTAAACTGATCACAAACAAACTAGAAAAAAAAACTTAACAATCCGCAGTTGAGGAAATGGTTTAATTTCATTGGACCGATCAATGTTGGTGGTCTTATATTGATCAATTCATGATTCCAATGAAATTAGGAAAACTTTAATACCATTTATCTTTATGGACCGACTGTAAATGGAACAGTGACTCTCAGCCACTAAGTACTGGTTTCGGAAGCCGCTTCACCTACTTACATTTAGGCAACTAAGCAGTATCATTAGCCTTCACCAATAGTGTGTTGCTTATACACAAGTATCTGGTGAATTAACAAGTTTGATTTAATTGACCGAATTTGAATTTGTCATATAATTGGTTTAATCAATTTAAATCTGGGTAGACAGATTGTTTCCGATTGTGAAGTCGTTCACAGATCACATCGAAATAACTATCATGAAGGGGTAATACGAAGTTCAAAGCAGCACGTCTATTTTTTCAAAGATCTAATCCTGTGCATCCTTGTACTTTATTATACGTATTAAATTGTCACATCTGTGTCGACAGCAATCCCACTATTTCCTTTTTAATTTTTAAATCAATCAAAACACAATTGATGAACTTTACCATACCAATTATTCAGATATCAATTTACATCTTGCAATAGCATGATTAAGTTGCACATATACCTGATGGGATGTAGGTACATCAAGCTGAACAATCCCATGTTGGACGAAACGTGCGTCCCGGATTCATGTTCTGTTGGTCTAAAAATCCAGTATTTTCCGGGAGTCATATTGTTGTAGATCATGACAGTGTGAACCAAACCACTAACTGATGCCAAGACAATCAATCACAACGTAGAACCTCGTACGTATGTACATCAGTTCAAGTTGACATACGCCATTATCACACAGAGATGAAATTATCAGACCAAACCCCACAATAATAGAGGTGGTTACAATACCAATGGTAGTAGAAAAGATTAAGCGTCGAAGATTGTGATTCGAGAAGAAAATATGAATTAATGGAATAAGAACACAAACAAAACCATGAGGAAATTAGAAGCTCCGAATTTGGGGTAAGACAGGGAATGGACGGACCTGCACCATTGCAAACGATCTTGAGCCACATCACTCAGTCCAAATGTCAATGACTTGAACTGATGCCACGTTTTGTATGACTGCCACCACATTTCTTCAACCAACTTCTACACCAAACAACATCGTCCGTCTAGATAGGCGGTGGTTTGGTACACGTAACACACATACAAACCTCAGTTGGTGAAGATTTACTACCTCAGCAATCGATTTGCCATGTTTACCTAGTACCCTACCCCTAAACTATGCATTGCTCATTCCGTGTTCTCAAAATGCACGAGCAATAACTTCTAGACACCCATGATCGAATACCAGTAACCT